CCCCAGGATGACCCTCAAACCCTGGGAATGACCCCTGACCCTTTAGGTGACCCTAAAAGCCTGGGAATGACCCCTGACCCCCAGGGGGACCCTAAAAGCCTGGAAATGACCCCGACCCTCCGAGGCTAACTCTAAACCCCCCCCCAACCCCAGGATTGACCCCTGACTCCCCCCTCAACCTGCTCCAATTGGCTCCTGAGCGCCTCCAGCTGCTGGAGGGGGAGCTCAGAGACATTAACCGCCTGCGCCATGACACCGGAAACACGTGACATAGCGGTCACAGCGCCGCCGGGAGGATAGCGGCTGGGAGGAGTTATTGCACACAGCGGGTCGGGGAGTGGCACAGCGCCGCCGGGAAGGCAGCGGCTGAGAGGAGTTACTGCGCACCGCGCCGCCGGGAGGGCAGCGGCTGGGAGGAGTTACTGCACACAGCGGGCGGGGAATGGAGGAGTCACAGCGCCGCCGCGAGGGCAGCGGCTGGCAGGAGGTATTTCACACAGCGGGCGGGGATTGGGGGGCACAGCGCCGCCGGGAGGGCAGCGGAGGGGAGGAGGTAATACACACAGCGGGCGAGGATTGGGGTGCACAGCGCCGCCGGGAGGGCAGTGGCTGGGAGGAGATACTGCACACAGCGGGCGGGGAATGGGGTTGCACAGCGCCGCCGGGACGGCTGCGGCGGGGAGGAGGTACTGCACACATCCGGGGGTGTGAGGTGAAATGAAGGATCACAGCGCAGCCAGAAGGGCAGGTGCTGGGAAGGAGGTACTGCACACAGCGGGGGCATTGGCGGGTGGGGGTAAAACAGAACCGCCGGGAGGGCAGCGGCGGGGAGGAGGTCTTGCAATCAGCGAGGGGAGGGTACAGCGCCGCCGGGAGGGCAGCGGCAGGGAGGACGTATTGCAACCAGCGGCGGAATGGAGGCCATAGCGCCGCCGGGAGGAGGTATTGCAATCTGCGGGGGAGGGCACAGCGCCGCCGGGAGGGCAGCGGCGGGGAAGAGGTATTGCGCCCACCTGGTTAGGTGGGGCAGATGTGGTGAGAGCGGGTCACAGCGCCGCCGGGAGGGCAGCGGTGGGGAGGTCTACTTGCCAGTGTTTGGCCCCATATCCCTCTAAACCCTTCCTATCCATGTCCCCATCCAGATGCCTTTTAAATGTCATTATTACTAGCCCCTACTCACTTCCTCTAGCAGCTCGTTCCACACACGCACCACCCTCTGTGTGAAAAAGTTACCCCTCAGGTCCCTTTCCCCCTCTAGTTATGACTCCCCCCAGCTCCTGGGGGGGGGGGGGGGGGTGGGGGTGGGGGGAAGACTTTGACTATTCACCCTGTCCGTGCCCCCTCATGGTTTTATAAACCTCCATAAGGTCACCACCCCCTCAGCCTCCGGGGAAAATAGCCCTGGTCGATTCGGCCCCTGTATGTAGCACCTGCCCCATCCCCATCCCCACCCCAACCCACCCCACCACCTCCACGTTGAACCAACACCACCGCCCCCCCACCACACTCGATCCACGCAGATATCTAAATCTCCTCAATAAACCAGGAGCGACGAATGGGGAACTCGCCCGTTTGCTTATTCGTCGTGGCCAGGACTCCCTGCCGACGCCGATCCGTTTTCTCCTGCTACGTCAGGAAGACAAAGAGAAAGAAATGACGACAATGATTGGGGGGGGGTGGGGAAGGTGAAGAGAAAGAGATGGAGGAAGAGAAACAGCTGGATGGGTGCGCGGGCAGGAAGGGTCAAACGCTGGCAGAGGGGAACGACATTGATTCAGGACGTGTGTCTCGGAGCGGACGGGAAGATACGGGTGTTAGAGCCGCAGAGAGAGGTGGAGGGGGTACGGAGCATCGACTCTAAGAAGGGGGTACAGGTCCTTTCCTTGGTCTCACAACTGCAGGCGGGGGTGAAGAAGCTGCTCTCCAATCAGATGGTGCCCGACGGAAGAGATTGCAACCGGGGGACGGAGAGGGGCTTTGATGATGTTGGCTGCGTTCCCGGAGGTAGGGGGAAGTGTAGACGGAGTCCGCGGACGGGAGGTTGGCTGTGTGTGGGGGCCATAGACACACGCGCACACGACTCTGTAGTTTCTTACGGCCTATAGCCATAGCAGTTACCGTACTAGGGCCCGGGATGTGCCCAGAGAGCACGCAGCATGCTTTCTTACGGGGCGCCTATGAAAACGAATTCCCCGCCACCCATGGAGGGCCGACGCACCCTTCAGCCTCCTCGCCCCCGCCCTCTCTTTCCTGCCCCCCCACCACCACCGTCCCACGCCGTAACGCCTGCCATTGGAGAGCCGAGGGATTTCGAACCAGGAGGCAGCGAAGGAATGGGGGTGCTGTCGTTCTTCCCCCCAACCCAACCACCAACCACCAAGAGCGAGGTAGGACAATGCCAGGGTTTGGGGAGGGGGGGGGTGCTCCCCCTGCTTCACCCTCA